GAGACGGCGAGGTCTAATTTGAATCCGCGCGTGGCCCTCACTGTGCTGGGCCCCCCAGCAGGCCTCGAAAATGGCGACCGTTTTACAGATCGCACCCCCCCAGGGATGGCGAGGTCAATTTGAATCCGCACGTGGCCCTCACTGTGCTGGGCCCCCCAGCAGGCCTCGAAAATGGCGACAGTTTCACAGATCGCAGCCCCCCAGGGATGGCGAAGTCTAATTTGAATCTGCCGTGGCCCTCACTGTGCTGGGCCCCCCAGCAGGCCTCGAAAATGGCGACAGTTTCACAGATCGCACCCCCCCAGGGATGGCGAGGTCACATTTGAATCTGCGCGTCGCCCTCACTGTGCTGGGCCCCACAGCAGGCCTCGAAAATGGCGACAGTTTCACAGATCGCAGCCCCCTAGGGATGGCGAGGTCTAATTTGAATCTGCGCGTCGCCCTCACTGTGCTGGGCCCCCCAGCAGGCTTCGAAAATGGCGACGGTTTCACAGATCGCACCCCCCCAGGGATGGCGAGGTCTAATTTGGAATCTGCGCGTCGCCCTCACTGTGCTGAGCCCCCCAGCAGGCCTCGAAAATGGCGACAGTTTCACAGATCGCAGCCCCCCCAGGGATGGCGAGGTCTAATTTGAACCTGCGCGTCGCCCTCAGTGTGCTGGGCCCCCCAGCAGGCCTCGAAAATGGCGACAGTTTCACAGATCGCAGCCCCCCAGGGATGGCGAGGTCTAATTGGAATCTGCGCGTCGCCCTCACTGTGCTGAGCCCCCCAGCAGGCCTCGAAAATGGCGACAGTTTCACAGATCGCAGCCCCCCAAGGGATGGCGAGGTCTAATTTGAATCTGCGCGTCGCCCTCACTGTGCTGGGCCCCCCAGCAGGCCTCGAAAATGGCGACAGTTTCACAGATCGCAGCCCCCCAGGGATGGCGAGGTCTAATTTGAATCTGCGCGTCGCCCTCACTGTGCTGGCCCCCCCAGCAGGCCTCGAAAATGGCGGCTGTTTCACAGATCGCAGCCCCCCGCAGGCAAGACAGGAAGAGGCAGGGAGGGAGGAGGAGGAGGAAGGAAGGAGTGGAGACCACACTGCTCTATTCAAAACGAATACCCAACCAAGGAGGGTTGGGAATAATCCAAAGATGGTCCAAAAATAGCATGGGGATTATTTGTTGATTATTGATTGACCTTTTTGGGGCATTTTTGGGGCAGTTCCCTACCTAGGCTCTGCTTAGAAGGGTTCTTACTCTGAGGCTTAAATGGCCTGGGCAGCGGAATGCGGCCCGAGCGGTTCCCCCGGCATCCGCCCCGCGGTTCCCCCGGCATCCGCCTCGCTTAGCTTAGCTTAGTTTTAGCTTAGCTTAGCTTAGCTTAGCTTAGCTTATCTCACCTTGGCTTAGCTTAGCCTAGCCTAGCTTAGCCTAGCTAAGCTTAGTTTATATCATATTAGTTTAGCTTAGCCTAGCTTAGCTTACCTTACCTTACCTTAGCTTAGCTTACCTTAGCTTAGCTTAGTTTAGCTTAGCGCAGCTTATATTAGCTTAGCGCTGCTGATCTCAGCTTAGCGTACCTTACCTTAGTTTAGCTTAGTCTAGCCTAGTTTAGCTGAGCCTAGCCTAGCCTAGCTTAGCTTAGCTTATATCATCTTAGCTTAGCTTAGCTTACCTTAGCTCAGCTTAGCGTAGCTCCGCTTTGCTTATCTCAGATTCGCTTAGCCTAGCCTAGCCTAGCTTAGCTAAGCTTAGCTTAGCTTAGCTTAGCTTAGCTTATCTCATCTTAGCTTAGACTGGCTTAGCTATCTTATATTAGCTTAGCTTAGCTTAGCTTGTGCTGCTTTCCAAGGGGCTCCAACTCCTAGGTAGGGTCGCACTGGGATGATTTCTATGCTTCGTCGACAGTCCCCCTGTAGGGGGACAGGCCCGACTTGACCCCGAGAGCCCTCATGCGCCGCCCACGGCCCGGCGCCCCCTGCGGAGCAGGGGCCGGGGCAGCGCCCCCACGGGGGGAGTCGGGGGCGCCGGGGCCGATGCTGAGCGGCGGCGTCCAAGATCTAAAACGACGCGAAGATCGGGACAAAATCGGATCGGGATAACTCGAAATCTCTGAGAATCGGCGGGTTTGGAGGATGTATTGGGCGCCGCGGCCGCTCCAGAGCGTTCCGGAACGCTCTGAGAGCGCTCCAGAACGCTCTGGAGCGATTTATCCCGATCCTAGCCCTGTTTTAAAGATCTGGACGCCCGAAATGGGCGACAAACTTGAAAGGCTCACCGTGGCAACCAGACCCCAACACTGCGGGCTCTGATCAAATCGACAGCAGCCATGCCCATGATGAGGATACCCGAGGGCGACGTCAGCACCAACGCAAAGCCCATCGTGGCCCGAGCAGTAGTTGTTCAGGGGGCGGAGAAGTTGGCCATGGGGACCACCCAGAAGCCGCAGTTCTGGACGCCCGAGATGGGCACGGAAAGAATGGGTACAATGCCCAACAGCCGATCTTTTTCATTCTGAACAGGACTCGCTGTCCACGCCGCCGCGGCCTGTGTCCGTGCGAGACAGGAGGCCGCCTGCCCAACAGCGGCCGCTGTTGGTTTGGGATAACATTTGCTGTTGGGCATCGTGCCCATTCTTTCCGTGCCCATTTCGGGCGTCCAAATCCAAGAGGGGGGCGAGGACCGCAGTCGCACCGAGGTATGAGATCGAGGTCGGTTCGGGGAGGGTGCCTTGATGTTCTTCGTGCTCGTCCGGGTGTTCTCGTGCATCCTGGGGAGGGTACCCCGGATGCACTGCGCGGCGTGGCCTGCGGAGGGTCTCGTGCTCTTGACGGATGTTCTTCTGGCCTAGGTCCGATTGCAGGGGAGAGTGGGTGTATCACGGCTGGGGGCCATGACATCGTCCCGATTCCACGGCCCCTTCTGCCTCTTTCAACACGTCTCGTCCGCGCACATGCTTCGGGCCATGGTGCGTTGCCCCTCCTCTTCCTGGCCCCTATCTCTGGTGCGCCCGACTTTGGAGCGGATTCCTTGCCGGGGAGAGGTGAGCTTCCGAGGGGGCCAGTTGACGCAACGGCGGCTCCCCCCTGGGGCCGCAGCGGCGAGAAGCGCCTGGGGTCCCAGAGATGACGAGAAGCGCCGGGGAGGGCCGCCACTGTCGCGACGGGCCTCCTGCCCGAAGTCGGGTCGGACGAAGGGGGGGCCTAGGGAAAGGGAGGGTATGCCCGAAATCTGGTGAGTGCAGTCGGTTTCGGCCCCACCGACCAGCGCATTCCGCGGTGCACGAGCGCCTCTGGCGCCGGGAGGCGCCGGGGAGAGCAGGCACGGGGCCTGCTCCGCTGCCCCCCTCCTGGGCCCAGAGGCGGCGGTAGTGGCGAGTGGCCCAGGGGAGCGGAGCAGGACACGTATCCAGGAGCGCTCCTCCCCCTCCTCCCCCTCCTCCTTTCCCTCCTCCCCCTCCTCCCCCTCCTCCTCCTCCTCCTCCTCCTCCTCCTCCTCCTCCTCCTCCTCCGCCTCCTCCTCCCCCTCCTCCTCCTCCTCCTCCTCCTCCTCCTCCTCCTCCTCCTCTCCTCCTCCTCCTCCTCCTCCTCCTCCCCTCCTCCTCCTCCTCCTCCTCCTCCTCATCCTCTCCTCCTCCTCCTCCTCCTCCTCCTCCTCCTCCCTCCTCCTCCTCCTCCTCCCCCTCCTCCTCCTCCTCCTCTCTCCTCCTCCTCCTCCCCCAAGACGTCCCTGAAGAGGCCTCCCGATGGACCGTGTCTTCGGCGAGGCTCGCCGACGGGTGCGTCGGTGCCGACTCGCTGCCCCCCCCTCTCGTCCGACCCGAGAGGTACAAGAGCGGGGGCGGCTGGCGCTGCGGCGGGGGGTCGCACTTCGTCTCGGACGCCGAGCTGGGCAGGAGCTTCTCGTCCTGATGGCCCGGGCGGTGGGCGGGCGGCCCCAGCGGCCCCCCGGGGCAGGCCAGGGGCACGTCGCTTGCGCTGGAGGTGGGCCTTTCCCGCCTCCCTCCTCGTCACACCTGCCTCCGACTCCTTCCACCCCTTTTCCTCTTGTTTCCTCCTCCTCCTGGACTCTCTGTGGGCCTCACCCTTTAAAATTGGGACGATGCAGAGAAAATTGGCATGACCCCTGCCCAAGGATGACACACAAATCGAGAAGTGTACACATGCTTCACGGCCACGCTCCACCTCCTCCTCCTCCTCATCCTCCTCTCCTCCTCCTCCTCCTCCTCCTCCTCCTCCTCCTCCTCCTCCTCCTCCTAGACGGGCGCCCTTTAACTCTACCGCAGCAGCTAGATGCCCTCAAAGCGGCATTAGCCAGAATGCCAAACAATTGCTCGACGGTACCCCCTCCGCCCAACACGGCTAGGCCATACAGGTGGCTCAGGCCGAGGCGTCGAGGTTGAGTCGTTGACGAACTCTGCGGAAGGTACTGGCGCTCCTCTTCCTCCTCCTCGTCCTCCTCCTCATCATCATCATTATCATCAGCATAATCATCAGCATCATCAGCAGCAGCATCATCATCAGCAGCATCATCAGCATCAGCATCAGCACCATCCTCATCATCATCAGCATCATCATCCTCATCATGCTCGTTATTAACATCATAAGCGTACTCATCATCATCGTCATCATCATCATCAGCAGCAGCATCAGCATCAGCATCAGCATCAGCATCAGCATCATCATCATCATCATCGTCGTCGTCGTCGTCATCATCATCAGCATCCTCGGTTCCTCGGTTCCTAAAGGCATGAAAGTCCTCAGACGTTGCCGCTTCGCTTAGGGAGGCCTGGTCGGGCCCCCTTGGGGGAGCAGTACACAGAGAAGAAGATTTGGGACCCAGGTCCCGCAGGCAGACGGGAGGAGGAGGAAGAAGGAGAGACCATCACACCTCATACAGTCGGGGCACTGAGGAAGGAACCCTTTTCGTTGGGGAGGGGCTCGGTGTTCCTTAGTTGTTTTGCAGCTTGCCTCAGGTTTTCCTTATGTTTTCGATTGGAAATCGAAGTTTGACTTATTGAAAAAAAGGGGCCTCGTTCCTTATTTAGGGTTCCTTAGGTCAACGCCCCGACTGTAATAACGCCAGGAGGACAAAGGGAAACCGTGGGAATCTGGGGCGGCCGCGTGGCGTGGCGGAGCGCGGCGCGTGGGAGGCCCCTGGGGGCCGCTGGTTTAGGGCCCTGCTCCCTGCTGGGTCCCCTGGCCACGTAGGGCCAGGGGACCCAGCAGGGCCTCTCCCTCCCCCGCAGGGGCGCCCCGTGTGTCCGAGGAAGGAGGGAGGCGAGGAGGTGCAGGCGGCTGAAAGTGACGATGAGGTGGACGGGGGGGGGGCGCGGGGGGCCCTCCGGTGCTCGGGTTGCCGTGGCCGTTGGGCCTCCAGCTCAAGGCAGCTCGAGGGGAGAGGGGAGAAAGGGCAGGGCGAGGAGCGCTGTTGCAGCAGGAGGCGAGGGGCGTTGCAGTGGCAGCCTGTGGGTGTGGGAAGCAGGCGGCCTGGGCGGCAGAAGAGGCCGCGGGGCCCCCTTTGGGGTGCCGCTTGCAGCGGGGGGGGCCCAAGGGCCTTCTGTCCACTGGAATCCCCCACAGGTGTCCCAGAGGCCGACGGCGGGATCCTTCGCCTGCACGCAGGCGTAGGGCTCCCAGCACGTCGGCCTCTGGGCCGCCTGGGGGGGGATTCACCAAGCGTGAGGGAGGTTTGGGCCCTCCCCCATCGGCAGCTTAGCGGCGGCGCCGACCACGCTCGCCAAGGTAGGTGGCAGAAAGGCCTCACCCCCTGCACATCGGAAGCCCCCCTAAGCGACCACCATCCCCATGGTTGGTACCCTCCCTCGCCGAGGCAGGAGTAGGGTACGCAGACCATGGGAGTGGTGGCTGCTTAGGGGGATTCCACCGTGCGTGGGAGTGGTTTCCCTCCTCCCTCCTGCGACTCCGACTCCGACTCCTCTTCCTCCTCCTCCTCCTCATCCTCCTCCTCCTCCTCATCCTCCTCCTCCTCCTCCCTTCTCATATTCCCTCTTCATCATCTGCGTCCTCCCACGGGTGAGCTGCTGTAGGAACGTCTTTGCGCGCGGGTCCCGGTTCGCCACCCGCGCTTTCTGCATTTTAGGCAGCAGGTCAGCGAAAGTGTACAGCACCCTGCCAAAGCAGATAACCAGCAGACAGTGCATCGTGGTTGACGATGCTGCTGCTGAGAACTGCACACGCGGGCGTGCACGTCGGGCTGCTCCTAGATGGTTGATCCTAGTGCTCTCAGGAGGGCTTGATTTCGAGGGTTTCAACTTCCCTGTCGAGTCGTTCTCCGAAAAACGCTCACACTTCGGGGCTCCTACTTGTGGTCTGAGGCAGTGGCATTGGCCTCTGGGCATTACGTAAGTTATCGGCGGTTATCGCACCATTATCGTTCGAATCCTACCATTGAACGCGTTTGCTGGGGTTCCTCACGATGGGGCCCCATATTAGAGAGGTTCCATAACATGGGTTCCCACACAATCGAGTCCCACGCCGCAGGGTCACACATGATGGGTCCCACGCGACAGGGCCCTACGCGCTAGGGTCCCACATGAAAGGATTCCCATCCGATAGCCACCCGATGGGGTCCCTCCCACAGACAGGGTCTCAGAAGACAGGCGCGTCGTCTCGGCCACAGCTTGCGATCAGATGATGAGTCCCTTGAAGGGCTCCCTTGAGATGCCAGCGCGTGGACGTGTGGAGCCCTAGGTGTAAGGAACCCTACGCCTATGTGTGTGTGTTGGTGGGGGAAGGAAGCCGTGTCGGTCGAAGCTGGGCCACGGCAGTCCACGCAACAACGGCCAGCCCCTAGACCCAGGTCCGGCTCACGACAGCGGAAGCCGGGACTTGCAGCGTCCGAGCTTTGTTCCCCTCGAAACAGCTTGTCCTTAAGGAGTCCCACACGCTTACTTCTCGGAAGTAAGCGCATCGGACTCCTAGGAGGAGGAGGAGGAGGAGGAGGAGGAGGAGGAGGAGGAGGAGGAGGAGGAGGAGGAGGAGGAGGGGGTCGCGTGATCCAGAATCGGTGCTGCGTCACTGTCTCCCGCCGTCGCGGGCCGTCTCCCGCTGCCTCCCGCTGGGCTCCCGTGGGCTCCCGTGGGCCTCCCGCGGTCTCCCGTGTGGTCTCCCTTTGGCCCCCCGTCGTCTCCCGCTGCCTGCCGTGGTCCCCCGCTGCCTCCCACCGCCTCCCGCTGTCCGGCTGCATCACCCCTGGGAGTCTCCGTCGATGCCCCTCCTCGGAAACTGGAGCATATGCTCCAGATTTCGTGATAAAAGGGAGGGGGTCTCAACCCTCCCAGACGAGAAGTTTTAGACCCTCCCAGACCGTCCATGAAAGGGTGGCCCTTTGCCCAGACCCCCCCGAAACCTCCAAGACAGCTCAAACCAGACTCCCCCCAAATGTGACCCCCCCGACTTTATCATGGAATCCGGAGTACATTACCAGTGGCGGGCGGTTCTTCAATCCCAGGACTTTTTTGAGCGTCGGGGACGACGTCGGGGTGGTGTGGTGTGTGCTTGTTTCCCCGCTCTCCCGTGGCAAGGACGAAACATGTACACACCAAAACCCCGCATACACCAATATCCGCTTTCCTGTGCGAGTTTCGGTGCGGTGCTGGACAAAGCGTCGGTGTATAGAGTTCGGCTCCTTACTTCCCTCAGCTACAGAGTGAAGTTGCTCGTGGTCTTCTGCCGCACAGGCGTCTCTCGTGAGATTGTGACCACATGACCCGGTCGCCTATGAATTTCCCCACGTGCGCCCAGATGCCAGGGTCACCGAAGGGTTTCTTTGGTTGCCGTCAGGGGACAGGATTCCTTGAGGATTTCCTCATGTGCGATCAGATGTTAGTGCCACCTGAGGGCCCTGAGGCAGCCTGAAGATACATTTATCTGTGATCGGATGATGGGTCCCCTGGTTGAGCTCCTTCATTGATGGTGGGCCCCCCTGAGGATTTCATTGATTGTTTGCTACCAGATGAGGGGGTCCCCACCTGCAGGGTCCAGCCGTTAGGGTCCCATCAGCATGGCCCCGTCCGTAGATGGTACACCATGGGTGTCACCCGACAGAATGGGCCGTGTTGTATAGATTCTCCTTTTTAAAAAGAGAATAGACTCTACCCCCCCCCCGACTTAACGCTTCCCCCTGGGATAGTATAATTTCATATATATATATATATATATATATATATATATGCACACTCGTCAATCCTAAGTATGAAATTATATCATCCCAGCTAGGCCGGTATCCCCCCCTGAGGTTCCCTTGTAAAAAACACTAGGCGGTGACATTTGTTGTTCTAACATAACACTTTTTCACGAATCCCTTGCAAAAAATGGGACGAAGTGCACACGCGCGCGTCGTCGCGCGCGCATGCCGAAATCCTTCAAAAACCTTCGGTGCCGGAAGGATTTCGCAATCGAGTTCCCAAACACATACAAATATCTTGGCGAAGGACCCAACCATATGCTGTTGCGGGTACCGCAATTGTGAAAATCTTCTTCCGTGAAACTCCCTATGGGGCCACGAAGCGCTGCATTGGGTGGGGGGGAACGCTGTTCTGGGTGAGTGGTGTGTCAAGTAAGGTTTCCGGGACGCATGCGGACGGTCCCACTGGGAGCTTCGGTGGAGCTCCCTGTGGGGCCACGAAACGCTGTACTGGGTAAGTGAAAATGCCAAATTGGGCCTCTGGGACGCATGCGGACGGTCCCACTGGAGGCTTCGGCGGAACTCCCTATGGGGCCACGAAACGCTGTACTGGGTGGGCGAAAATGCCAAATTAGGCTTCCGGGACGCATGCGGACGGTCCCACTGGGGGGGGGCTTCGGTGGAGCTCACTATTGTATTGGGTAGGTAAAAATGCCACGTTGGGTTTTCGGGACGCATGCGGACGGTGGCACTGGGGCCTTCG